ACGTAGGATTACTTGCGTGTACTTGGACAGCATGTGCACTTTAGTCCACTTAATTTTACGTGGATCGCTTACGTGCGCCCTAACTGGCATATAGGTGTGCACCTGGGTCGTTTGCATGAACTCTTACGTGCACCCCAGCTTCCTCGTAGGTGTGCACCTGGATCGTTTGCATGAACTTTGATCACTTAACTCATGTACCTATTCCCAGCTTATATAGGCGCAAGTACGTGTACTTGCTCAGCTATCTTTGCTTGGTTCACTTACGTCCCACTGAGTCTGGCTCATCTACGAGCAACCTGCTTAAATATTATGCAAAAAATATAACAAAGTCACCGTCAAACACGCATTCTTCTGCGCAAGACAGGGACCGTCAGCATCACCCCACCGTTGCAAGAAAAAAAAACCTTCCAGACCGGGGTAAAACCTGAACGAAAATACCCCACAAAGGAACCCCGACCCCCCGAAAAACGACCGCTCCCCGAACAAGACATCGATGACCAGTAATAGCCGCCGGTACGTTGATGCAACAGAAGTTGCATGGTGGCCGTGAACCAGCCGGTCAAAGTGGTGCACCTGTGGCGCTTCGTCGCCGTCCAATCCCATAACAGCGGTAATTTGAAGTTCGATTTGTGAACATATATGTAAGTTAAATTGCCAAACACATACACACAGACAGACACGCACGTGTACACACATACACATTATACTGCCGAACAAGCACACACAAGCAGACATGTACGTACACACACACGCACATACTGCCCTGATAGTTATCATGAGGGTGTATACACACATATCATGTGCACTGCATGCTATTTGTAAGCGTGTGCACACACTTCGGTGCGCCGTGCCCATCTCTTCAATACCGCTGTGCTGAAGGCAATGTGACGTACAGATGCGAAACGTGATCACTGATAAAAGTTGAAAAGCAAGTCCTGGTTGTGACAGTAAGTGTGATGAACTGAGAGATACTCGGCGTATCTCTTCGTGACCATATAAACGATCAGACTCTCCGTCACGGATGATAGAAGTACAGGATATAAGTGCGATCACAAAAGAATGCGAAATTCGATAAACTGGCATGTGAATGCGCCTATAATGAGTGGCATGCAAAACGACCGTTCGGATAAGACTGAAGAAATAGCGCATATATATCAGGCAGACCATGGATATATCTTGAAAGCAGCTCTTAAATTCTGTTCCAATTTTTTTTTACTTCTGAACTTTCATGTTTAACCTTGATTTTATTACTTTTGATCTCAGCTTCGAAATTATGCAAAATTCTCAAATCAGTAAGAACATTAGCTGGAGATGTTGATAAATTAGTTCATCAGACAGTTCGGGGCAAAAAAAAACACGAAATTATTTTACAAACCCTGCTATAACCTCAAGCCAAAATTGACTAATTTCTTCATGATTTGCGGCCTGTGTATCCAGCAAATTTCGACGAGGTCCAATCATAACACTGGCAAGAAATTTATTCAACCTTATAGACCAAAACGTTCCTTTCGTTTTTTAAGAAAATTGTCCTATTTTCATAGTTCTTCATACCTTCCCAATTTACATTATAATTTCTTTTCGTTCTTTTGAACTTAATTCAAAATTCAATAATTCTTCTTTCCAGGCTTTAATTTAGCTATAAACCACAGACTTTGACTACTATTGCACTGTTTGAGCACTGTTCTAATTTTGAATCCCCCAATAGCTTGCATCGAAAGCATGCGATCGTCGATTTCCTCAAGTACTTCGTTATTTAGTATATTTTGCATAAATCTTGATCTATTAAATTACTACTGGAAATAACCTTTACAATGAGGTCACGTGTGTACGCGTATGTTTCTGTACCTGTCCGTGTTTCTGTTTGTGGATTAATACATGCCTGTTCAGATATTCTATACTCAGAAGCGCAGAAGCTGGAGTTCTAGGACTCTAGTTTTCGATCATGCGAAGGGGGATGGAGTTCAAACTGTTCATTTTCAAATTTAACTCGAAAACAGGAAAGTAAAGACTCGGCAGCAAAGTGATTCCACCGAATAATTTGAAACAATTAAAAGTTAGGCGCCAAATCGACGTGCGACATTAAGGAAAACTGCCTGGTTTCCAGTTCGAGGGCGAATTGATCAAAAGCTCATGATTCTGTGTATGAGTTCGGCGCAGAGCACGCTGACTGGCTCACTAGTCAGCTTACATGCTGTGGAGTGTCTTTTGGCTTATGAGCGCTTGGCCATAAAGCTGTTGACAGTGCAGCTATGAAACGAAGCAAGCCATAAATTCGAAATTTCTCTCTCACAACAGCATTCGCTGAAATCATTAAAGCCGTATTTCACTGGCTGGCCGCATCTAGCAGAACACTAAACCATCGAAGTCTCTCTTCGAATGCAGAGCTTTATTTTAATGCCATTTTTTGTTGTTCTAATTTCCTAAACGCAGTACCACCGCAGATCTTTAGGAATTGTTTTATTATCTGTTATTTTCCTATCCATTTACGTTGGAACAACCAATCCCTTTACGATTCGTTTATTCTTTAGGTGGTAAAATTGGTACTGGCATATGCCAAAGAGTCAGACCCGATACCAGTTTGCTTGTAAGCAAACTTTGAACCCAGGCTGAAACGCACCAGGCGGGCCCGTGCGATCATGCGTTTTTGCACAGGACTTGAA